ATTATTTCCTCCTTATTTTCGCTCGGAGGTCTCTTCTCGTATCCTTTCCGAAATAATCCCTAATAGGGACTAATGGCCGCTATTAGTCCCTATTAGCCACTGTTCGGGATTATTGGTGTTATCTGCCTGGCTCAACCACTCTTATTTATTTGGGGAGGGGGGTCCAGGGGAGGGGGGCAAGGCTTCTTGTGATTCTTTAGTCCCTTAAGGGCTCCTTTAAAGGGATCCTACGGGGTCTAGGGTTTAGGGTTGATGTTATTTATCCTGCACTACCCCAAGGGCCCCTAAACTATGGGAATTCTGGTATATTCCTTAGTACGGGTAATGCAGGGTTTGTATCATCAACCGTATGTAGTCTAAGCATGCTATATACTATAGACATTCCTTAACATACCAAAATCTACTATGGTATACCGACAATAGCCATACTATATGCTGTGATATACTTCGACATACCATAGTCTACGCTATACTTTGATATACCATAATCTACTGGTATATACTTTGACATACCATAATATATTGTAATATACTTGGATATACCATATAGCCTACCATAATCTACGACTAGATATACTATAACTATCAGCTACATGGTGGGGTTTTCCCTCCACGTTCACAGTTCGGGTTACTATACCGGTTTTCAGGGCTTCCGGTTAAGGGCTTGGGGTTTTTAGTTACAGGAGTCAGATTTGGGTGCTTAGGGAGCAGTGTAGTGTACCGTAGCTACTGCGATGTCTGCCCTCCCATGAACGCCCCAGCCTGACGAACAGACCCAAAACAACAAACCACATAGCCACAAGCGCGTGTCAGCAGGATGAGGCAGCGTTGTACTTTCTCAAGATGGCGGAGGCCGTGAATTTAGCCTTCTGTTTTTGGTCGGGGTCTCGAATCTTGGCGGGGGAGGTTGTATTATTAACGTGGATGTGTCTAATTAGACGAAGGGCTCTTGCACTTCACGGGATTGTCAGGTTCTCTCAAGACCCAAGCCTAAACCCGAAACTCGAAACTTTAAGCCTAAACGTGAAGCCCCAAAGATCCAAAGCCCTTTTCTGAAAGGCCTGCCGCTGTCACAAGAAGCAGCTGGCCGGCGCCCCAGGCGCAGGGATTCATCTAAAGCCTTATGAAGCTCTGAAGCCCCAAAACCCTAAACTTTCAAGCTGAGAGCAAGGTAAAGCACTGGACCCGGAACCTTAAGCCCTCTTGAGCCCGAAACTGGAGACGAATCTATGCATCCTTGAACCCTTTCCGACCACAAACCTCAATACCCGACTGCCCTAAAGCCTTAGGGAATCTACGCCCTTTCCCAGGACTGGATGGATCTTTGGGATCTGGGCATCCTCATTGCAAACCGCGCGTACCAAGCCGGCAGGCGTGGCAATGTCTGGCCAGGTTCAGCATTTGCTGGTTTGAGGGTTGAAGGGTTTGGGGTTGAGGCGTTTAGAGGATTGGGGCGTAAGCGCTCAGGATCTAGGGTTTTGGGTTTAGGGTTTGGGGTGTGCTCGACTGCATGTCATGCCGTCTGCCTAGTACTATATTGTCTCTACGCTATGCTAGGATTTGGATATGCTGTCGTCGGTTTTGGGGCTACTACCGTCCATGTGGCGATGTGACGTGCTCCGACTGTTGTTTTCTGCGTGTGTTCCGTCTTGGGATTGGGAGTCTAAACCCTACGCCCCACGGAGGTGGCCAGAGTTCTACAAGTCTCGGGAGATCATCGCGGAGGTCGGAAGGAAACAACTGATGACAGGAGTTTGTTTCTACTTTCAGCGTCTTCTACCATCTACTACTATCAGCACCAGCACCACGACGACCACTACTGCCACTACTGCCGCTGCTACAAGAACGACAACAACAATCACAACAACAACAACAACAACAACTACTACTACTACGACGACGACGACGACGAGACCACTGCCGCTGCCTGCACGATTACGACGACGACCTCCACTTTCGTTTCGGCCACGAAGCGTGCTTCCGGGCAACTTCCGGAGCCTTTTCTGATGGCGCTCCAAACCCGAAAGGTCTAGACTTAGACCCGAAAGCACCTCGAACTCTGGAGTCCTGAGCCCTAAAGCTCTAAACTCCAAGCGAATTCTTGTCGCGGAAGATTTTGCTCAAGAGACGAGCTAGCCAAGTTGCGACCGACCAAGCTTGCTGTCGCCTCCTCGGACTGTATGGGACTGTCGGAATGTATTATATTATATTATGTATTATATTATATTATGTATTATATTATATTATGTATTATATTATGTATTATATTATATTATGTATTATATTATATTATGTATTATATTATATTATGTGTTATATATTAAATTATATATAATATAATATATTATATATTATATATTCTATATTATATATTATATATCATATATTATATATTATATATTATATATTATATTATATCATATTATATATTATATATTATATTATATTATATTATATATATTATATATCATATTATATATTATATATTATAT